CACTGTGAAGGCTCACTCCAAGACTCTCTGCCTTTTGCTGTTTAAAACTCACCTGGTGTTTTCAACAGACCCACAAAACATTTTTGAAATAACACATCTTTCATATGATGTCACTGGTAATTAAGTTTCCCCTGTTAGCCACCTGCCCTGAGCAGTAGCGTCTCATTCTCTTCCATCATGCACTGGTGCAAATCAGGAATCTCTATTGTTGTTAGTGGCATCATGGTGAAACACTTAGGAGAAAAATGTGCCTCAGTTCAAAGCGTTTGTTGACGTCTAAGAAAGACAAAAGAGGTTTTTTTATGATTCACCCTCCCAGCTAGGAAAAAAAAATTAATTTTCTGTACCTCTGTTTCACCACTGATAACAGATAGCTCATGTCGCATGGCGTGCTTGAAGCCCTCTGGAGAAAATACGTTGTAGTTCCCTGTCTTGTGTTTCCCACCTTTGCACAGACCTTTAATTTTGCCAGCTCCTCTTCAGATCTTGGCAATATTTCCTACGAGGATCCCATTTCTAAACGGTTCATGACCATCCCTCTGTGATGGCTATATGCTTAATTGGCTGTCAGAAATTGCTTGTGCTCTGCTGCAAACTCTCAGCGTTCATGTGTTTCAATTTTTGTGTCTTGGGGTCATGAGAATGCACAAGAAATGCAGCAATTTCTTTTTCTTTAAAGCGGTGAGATTATAAGCTTTGAACTTGTGGCAAAAAGACAAGTAGCCTGCCCAGGGTCAGATGCTCAAAAAGCAGAAGGCAAAAGAGGTTATAAAATTGCATGATTCTTTTAACCAATCTTATAATGTTTTTGAGGTCCCCAAAAGATTAAAATATGGCATGGAAATGCTACTACAGCACCTGGCTTTCAAGTAATGCCTGGGGGAAAATGTTGGCAGTTACATTGCATGAAGATGTGGTGTAGACCCAAGTTTCTCTGCTCTCCTGCTCTGGCCTGGCACAGGACCATCTCCTGCCCCAAACCAGGGAGGTGCAGAGATGCTGTGCTGTGCCCAAGCACAGCCACCCCCCTCGCTTGCTTCCCCCAGCAGCCCACAGTGCTGCTGCTCCTGGTGCGTTTATAAAACCCTATCATTCACTGAATCCTTTGCCTTTATCTTACTATCCAAAAAAGAGACTAAACTGATCTCCAGATTTTTTTGCCTTTCATTTCATGAGTCAAATCCTCCACCAAGATATGCAGGAATGGCATCGTGGAAGTCAAAACCATTAAACCAGCACATCGGACCACTGTCTCGGCTTTGTGTGAGTGAGGAGGGGGCTATAGTGCAGTGAAGATTTGCTCAGGCAGCTTGGATTGCTCCTGCTGCCCCAGGAAAGCAGACTGGTGCTGCAGGGGGACCATGGCATGTCCTTCCTATGCATGGCCCGGCTGCCACAGCTGCCATGACCAGCTCATATTTGCAGGCTACAGCTCCCCTCACTCCGCTTCTCCGGTGCAAGGAGTGGGTTAAGAGCCCCTGTTAACCGTTATCACCCTGCAGGCTCCCAACCCATGACTGTGCATACCGAGTGCAACAGATGGGATTATTTTAAGTGCCTCTGCTGTGCGAGAAACCACATCCTCAGTATGACTTAAAGCCACCTGAAAGCACCTCTGTGCAACCAGGCAGCAGGGAAGAAACGTCCCTCCAGGCTGTGCTGCCTCTGCTCGCTGCCATCTGCAACCACCCCCGGGGAAGTTACGCCAGCTGCCTGGCAGCTGAACACAGCCACAGATCAAAACGGAAACCAAAACGGTGCATATAGTGTCCAACTGGCCGTAGAGAGAGAAACGAGACAGCTTTGCCCACCCGCCCTTTGCTTGCCTGGCACCTAAATCCCTCCTCCCTCCAGTGACCCATAATTTCAGCACTCCCACAGTTTCCATTGCCACTGTGCTGCCCAGTTTCTAACCAACAGGTCCATGTAACCGCGCTGAGCCCTGGCCAAGCTACACACCCCTGCATAGGTAAGAGCTCCTGCATTAAGCCTCAAGGGAAAAACAGAAAGCAGAGTGAGTTTCCATGAGCTCCAGTGGTAAAGTCAGGGGAAAAACAGTTAAAAAAATCTCCCAGTACAATAAATCTCTTCCTGCCTCCCCCCTCCACTTTCTCCTCTTTTGTCCATCCCTCCTAAATAATTGGTTTTTCTCTTTCGGGAACACAGAAAAGGCAACAGTCAGGAAACCTTGTGATCTGCAATGATAACACCTTCTGCAAAGATTACACCTCCGCCTCTCTTTTCTTGTCTCCCTCTCTCTGTCCCCCCTTTCAGTCCTGTAACTTACCATGTGGAAGATCCCTAGAGCGACTGTTGCTGTCTTGATGTTGAAGAAGCAACATTTGGGGGGCTCGGTGGTCATTTGAGCAGTCATTTTCTGATCCCTCTGCGCAGCTGTGAGTTAATGGTGTTGAATTTGCGGCAACCGCTCCACTGAAAAGCAAAGTGAGCAGCACAGCTCAACTTCCTTCCTGGTCTATAAATGTTTAAGTCATCTACAAAGTCACATGAGGTCTTTGATTTCTCAATAATAAAGAAAGCAAAATTGCATTGCTTTTCTAACAGACCTTTAACTGCTTGCACGACCCAGATGGCAAATGTAAGCACAAATGCTGCTTCAGGCAGGTGGTGTCCAGTGGGTGAGGTGTGCGGGGAGAAGAGGGCTCCAAAGCAGGGTGCAGCTTTGTCCTACAAAAATCATCAGAAACAAAAGCAGGGGGGCAAGAATTTCACCTTAAACTTGACCCGCTGTTTTTGCAATGAGGCATCCAAATTCCTTCGTTTGAAGCAGCTCGTTCCTTGCCAGCAATGTCACCATTCCTTGGAAGTGCTCCTGGGAGCCAATGCTTGAGCAGCCCTGGCCTGTGGGACCAGAAGGTTGGTGGGACTCCAAAGGTCAGGGTTGTTGGCTGAGAGATGTGCAGATTTGCTCCTGGTTCCTGGCACAGCTGATGTGATTTATGCTAGTCAGCTCCTGGAAAAGAAAAGCAACAAAGAGACCTGAGCCCGGTGACTTAGCCACCATGTAGGGCGTCAGACCGTCTACCCCTGCTTGAACTTACTAAAATGTGCTCTTTGCTATATATTTCTTACCATTCTCATCAAACCCACTTTTTTTCTTCTCTTTTCCCCTTTCCCCACTCCATGGGACAGAAACGTCATCCTTTAGACCGTCTGTGGAGCAGACTGACCTGCGTTTCTGGCTTCCTGGGAAATGTCTGGTGTGCCACAGCAGGGTGGCAGCTCTCCAGCAGGTAAATGCAGGTAAATTTAATGATAGAGTTGAGCACACTCAGACAAGCTCTCAGGGGACTTGCGTGCCAGCACGCCTGGTTTCAGCATCCTAAATGTACTCACTGAGTTGATCGTTTCGTGCTTCCAGGAGCATTCCTGGGCAGCATAGCATCAGGGCCCTACAGTGCTTAGGCAGAGGGTTTTCTTGATTGCTCTTATGAAACTAAATGCACAAATTCCACCTCAGTGCCAGGAAATAGCTGTTCTGTAGCCCTCCAAATCTGTACTGAGTGCTACACGTCCAGCTGTGTTACGGGGGGTGTGCTGGAAAGCTTCAGTCTGGCTGCGTGGATGTTCCCAAATGCCATTGGAGTTCCGCAGTGATGTGTTTTTAGAGAAAGCCAGGAGTTTGGGGCAGCGATGGTATGAAATATAAGTAGCTGAATGCCCCTGGAGACACTGCATCGGAGACAGGGTCAACTTATAACTTAAATCAGATTGTCCATAAAAGATTGGCCATGCCTGGGTTCCCCTCCAGAGCCAGGGATGTCTGCAGCACAAAGACATTTCAGGGCAGGGCAGGGTCAGTGCAGTTGGGTCCCATTGCATATTCCCATGGTTTTCTTTGGAATCTCACCAAATCTGTCAGTTTATTGCTTATGTCCCAGGTTTTGAAGTCACATGGTTCTCTCTTTCTTTTTTTTTTTTCCCTTTAAGGATGCCTCTGTGTTTTTCAGTCTTGGATTTGTGGGAAACTGTTTGTAAATAAGAGGTAAGTGCAGCTGAACAGAAGAAGAAAAGGGAAAGGATTATCTTCTTTTTTTTCACTTTGGCGATTACACTGGATTGTCTGCAGCACAAAGACATTTCAGGGCAGGGCAGGGTCAGTGCAGTTGGGTCCCATTGCATATTCCCATGGTTTTCTTTGGAATCTCACCAAATCTGTCAGTTTATTGCTTATGTCCCAGGTTTTGAAGTCACATGGTTCTCTCTTTCTTTTTTTTTTTTTCCCTTTAAGGATGCCTCTGTGTTTTTCAGTCTTGGATTTGTGGGAAACTGTTTGTAAATAAGAGGTAAGTGCAGCTGAACAGAAGAAGAAAAGGGAAAGGATTATCTTCTTTTTTTTCACTTTGGCGATTACACTGGATTTTATCCCATCTCATAACAAGCTGGGGAAGAAGATGGGCTCATATTCTTCAGCAGTGCAACTCCTGCCCTGTGGTTGGCAGGAGGCTGAAAGCAGCTTTGGGGTACCCTTGGGGACCAGCTCTGAGTCAGAGCCCACACTGCTGTGGATAACTTGTGCTCTCCACCATCCACTGGTTGGAGGGCAATGCTCAAGTGCAAAAAAAAGACACTAGAAGGCTGAGCATCCTGGGAGAGACTGGGAGTTGAGTTGGTTTTAAGTTAGCTTAGGGTTACTCCAGCCTAGGGCTGTATGGTCAGTTTGGTGTGTTTTATTTTGGTCCAAGTCCATGGCTTCAACTCCAGTTGAAAATTTCCTTGCAAACCCAGCCGAGCCCACACTGCTGAGCCCATAGTAATTAATGCTCATCAAGACTAGAAAGATCTGCTTTCCTTCTATGCACCTTTTCATCCAGGGGCCTCAGTGGGCTCTGCAGGGGTGGGCAGGCATCATTATTCCTTTTCTACAGATGGGAAACTGAGAAATGTGTGCAGAAATGCCCCGGTTCATGGCCATGCCACTGGCCAGAAAAGAGCTGGGAAGGTAACCGGTGCCTGTGGATTCACAGGCTGCTCAGTTTACAAGGAGAGACTTCATTGAAAGGAAAACATGAAATTTATAGACACTGAAATTATAACGTTGGCAAAAGATGGCATCACTGTAAGTTATATTTCTGCAATCCACTTAGAACCTGCCTGGCTTCTGAACAGCTCCAAGTTTCAAGGATACATTTTTTATGCAGAGTAAATTTGAAGTATGTTTGGTCTCACTCCTCCCCAGTATGAGTTTTTACAGATTCCGCCGCTTTTTAGGATGGGAAATAAAGTCAATTCTACAGAGTATAGTTATGGGCCTCCTGTCACAAAAGACCTCCTGCAGCTCCCTGCCTTCACATACAAAGGCAAATCCATGGCAGCAGCTGGGAAATGTTCCTTCCAGATAGTTTTCTTATGTTTACAGAGGTAAAGATTTTCTCATGCATTATCACAGTGCTGTAGGGTTTGGGCTGAAGCCCCCAAAATGTGATCTCCTGTTTGTTTTAAAGCCCTATCTTTCTATCAATCTTTCTTTAAGTATGACAGGAAATATTTTCAAAGCTCTTTAACCACGGAGGGAGTTCATCTTCTTTTGCTTCAAGTGTCATTGCTCTAGCGTTGTGTTTTTGTGTTTTTTTAAACAAAACAGAAGAATATCCACATCTCCTGGAAACACTCTGTGATCTCAGCACTGTTGATGGGTGTTTATTAACTTTGAGAAAGTCAGTGCACTGTCAGTCTTGTCTGTTGTTTTAATTTCCCCAATTTTAGGTGAGATTAGGGCTTGTCCAGGGATCAGGATCTCGCTGTCTAGTCTGAACTGTGCACTGACCTCCCCGTTACCTGGGACAGGAGACATTTCTGCCACTTTCCCCCTTACCTGTCCTGGGTTATGAGCAGAGCAGGACGGTTCCCTGCAGCCTACCTCTGCCTTGGAGCCCTCACCCTGACCACAGCCTCTGCAATATTCATAGCTCTGTGAAAACTTTGCCCTCCTGTGGTCACAACTCCAGCTGAATGAGTGCAAATGCCTAATATTAGTCCCCAAGCCTAAAAATTGTGTTCCCCCAAGAGAGACAGCTCTGTCCCATGTGTGGCTCCACAGTGACAGCCTGCCTGAGCACAGCACCAGATGGCCACCATCCCTCCAGGGCTCCAGAGGTGTTCAATGCTGAGGCAGCAGACACCTACGGTACCATTTAAGTTTGGTCCATGAGGTTACATCAAGAAAGCCCCCCTACTAGAGACACAGTTTATATTGGCAAAATAAGCTCTGTAGACAGCACAACTTCGGCCTCCCTAATCAACGTCACCTGGAAGAGCAAAGCAACTCTTGTGGGGCAGAAACTGCAGCTCTGGAGATGGGGAGAGGCAGGTTTGCCTGAATATTATCTCTGACAGAAGTGTTTATTTTTTTCCCTCTCCAGACACAGTGGAGCAATGTTATGAATACACACTTACAGGCAGGTTTGGTGTTTGTTTTTTTTTTTTTCCAAGCAGTATTATGAATATAGACTTTACTCCAGTGTTTCAGAGCTCCTGCTTCCTAGCCACCATGAAACCATCAAGTGGAGAGAGGAAGGAATAGGAGATAAACAACGAACAAGTGCTATAAGTTTTAATGGACCTCAGACTAGGTTTAGACTAAATCCTACCACTTTGGGGTCGCTTTTGAACCAAATTGGGTCACTTTTAGCCAAATCACTTGTGACTAATAACTGGTAAAATTCTGACACCACTGCTGGTTTTCACCATTGTGGTGTGTGCTTTTCAGGCTAAAAATGAGGTTGTTTTAGCACGTTTTTCAGCATGGCCTCTAACTACTATTAAAAAATGTAATCCAGCCGCAGAGATTCACTGGTGGATCCATAGTACAACATGAAATTGCAATCTCTTCACAAGCGGGGAAAGCACAAAGCCATAGACTAGGACTGAAGACAGCACAAGCATCAAGCCCTGCATCTATCAGCACCCCTGGGGCAGCTAGAGCTACATCAAACCACAATAATGTCTGGAGCATCTTTGGGGAAATAGGGTTAAAAATAATATTTGGTTTTAAAAATTGATCTGTTTAAGCATCTTTCATTTACAAATCAGTTGCAAATACAGGCTTTGCTTTACCTTCTCCACATGGCATATTTTCTTTGGGGGTTGCCTCCCCTCAAAGCCATGTTGTGGACCCAGCCAAAAGAAGGTGCAGGAGGATCAAGTATTTCCTGCTAATATGAAAAGCTGGTTCATAATTTGAATCTGACTTTCCTTGAAAAGTGTACTTTCCCTTTGCAATCCCCCCGTCCTTTTAGAGGCAGACAGAGGCTTGCTTGTGTGTTTGAGCATACCATACCCAAACTTAGCTCACAACGTGTAAAAACAAATAGAAAGTGTGGCCCAGGCTGGGCCATTGGCTTCAAATAGTCC